TATATATATATATATATATATATATATATAATATATATATATATATATATATATATATATATTATATATATATATATATATTAATTTTTTTATTACCACACTGGCCAATTCCCACCAAGGCAGGGTGGCCCAAAAAAGAAAAACTTTCACCATCATTCACTCCATCACTGTCTTGCCAGAAGGATGCTTTACACTACAGTTTTTAAACTGTAACATTAACACCCCTCCTTCAGAATGCAGGCACTGTACTTCCCATCTCCAGGACTCAAGTCCGGCCTACCAGTTTCCCTGAATCCCTTCATAAATGTTACTTTGCTCACACTCCAACAGCACGTCAAGTATTAAAAACCATTTGTCTCCATTCACTATCACACAAGCTCATGCATGCCTGCTGGAAGTCAAAGCCCTTCACACACAAAACCTCCTTTACCCCCTCCCTCCAACCTTTCCTAGGCCGACCCCTACCCTGCTTTCCTTCCACTACAGACTGATACACTCTTGAAGTCATTCTGTTTCGCTCCATTCTCTCTACATGTCCGAACCACCTCAACAACCCTTCCTCAGCCCTCTGGACAACAGTTTTGGTAATCCCGCACCTCCTCCTAACTTCCAAACTACGAATTCTATGCATTATATTCACACCACACATTGCCCTCAGACATGACATCTCCACTGCCTCCAGTCTTCTCCTCACTGCAATATTGGTAAAACTATACTCTCATACATTCCCCTCTTTGTCTCCAAGGACAAAGTTGTCTCCACAGACTCCTAAGTGCACCGCTCACCCTTTTCCCTTCATCAATTCTATGATTCACATCTTTCATAGACCCATCCACTGACACGTCCACTCCCAAATATCTGAATACATTCACCTCCTCCATACTCTCTCCCTCAAATCTGACATCCAATCTTTCATCACCTAATCTTTTTGTTATCCTCATAACCTTACTCTTTCCTGTATTCACTTTTAATTTTCTTCTTTTGCATACCCTACCAAATTCATCCACCAACCTCTACAACTTCTCTTCAGAATCTCCCAAGAGCACAGTGTCATCAGCAAAGAGCAACTGTGACAACTCCCACTTTGTGTGATTCTTTATCTTTTAACTCCATGCCTCTTGCCAAGACCCTCACATTTACTTCTCTTACAACTCCATCTATAAATATATTAAACAACCACGGTGACATCACACATCCTTGTCTAAGGCCTACTTTTACTGGGAAATAATCTCCCTCTTTCCTACATACTCTAACTTGAGCCTCACTATCCTCATAAAAACTCTTCACTGCTTTCAGTAACCTACCTCCTACACCATACATCTGCCACATTGCCCCCCTATCCACCCTGTCATACGCCTTTTCCAAATCCATAAATGCCACAAAAACCTCTTTAGCCTTATCTAAATACTGTTCACTTATATGTTTCACTGTAAACACCTGGTCCACACACCCCCTACCTTTCCTAAAGCCTCCTTGTTCATCTGCTATCCTATTCCCTGTCTTACTCTTAATTCTTTCAATAATAACTCTACCATACACTTTACCAGGTATACTCACCAGACTTATCCCCTTATAATTTTTGCACTCTCTTTTGTCCCCTTTGCCTTTATACAAAGGAACTATGCATGCTCTCTGCCAATCCCTAGGTACCTTACCCTCTTCCATACATTTATTAAATAATTGCACCAACCACTCCAAAACTATATCCCCACCTGCTTTTAACATTTCTATCTTTATCCCATCAATCCCGGCTGCCTTACCCCCTTTCATTTTACCTACTGCCTCACGAACTTCCCCCACACTCACAACTGGCTCTTCCTCACTCCTACAAGATGTTATTCCTCCTTGCCCTATACACGAAATCACAGCTTCCCTATCTTCATCAACATTTAACAATTCCTCAAAATATTCCTTCCATCTTCCCAATACATCTAGCTCTCCATTTAATAACTCTCCTCTCCTATTTTTAACTGACAAATCCATTTGTTCTCTAGGCTTCCTTAACTTGTTAATCTCACTCCAAAATTTTTCTTATTTTCAACAAAATTTGTTGATAACATCTCACCCACTCTCTCATTTGCTCTCTTTTTACATTGCTTCACCACTCTCTTAACCTCTCTCTTTTTCTCCATACACTCATCCCTCCTTGCATCACTTCTACTTTGTAAAAACTTCTCATATGCTAGCTTTTTCTCCCTTACTACTCTCTTTACATCGTCTCATACTTAATATACGATATTTAAAACATCCAAGAGAGGTAAAATGCACATACAGTACACTCATTATTTACCTTAAAATATGTGTAGTCTTAATATAGGTAGAGAGGTGAGTAGTATTTATTTGTATAAAGTCAGTGTAGGTAGCCAGTAGGTGTAGCCTGGGCTACACCTACCGGCTACCTACACTGTGGCCCAGAGCCATATTATTAACATCGATATGCCTTGTTCACTGAATTTAATCATTTCTAACAACTACCTTTAGATGCCATCATAAACGAAGGTAGAAGTAATGAATAATTCATGCCGAAAATTGTAAACAAAAACGGAGTGGGGGAGTGGCTGGGCCAAACGCAGATTCATACACGTTTTCTCTGATGGCTGAACAGAGAAAACATAATGTTGTCCCTCCACCCGGCTCCACAAGTATTATTATCAGAGCATATAAAATATGCAATAAATGCCAGACAACAAGTTTGCACTAACTTATATTAAGCTAGCAATAGAAATAGGCATTAAAAACACAATAAAAGGTAAGATACACACAGAGTACACTTATTACTTACCTTAAAATATTAATACTAATGTGTGAGAGGTGAGTGGCAGGGTGTTTATTGAATAAAATCAAAATGGCACACCATCATCCTCTAACCTGGCACTTAAAGCAAGAGGCTTATGACTTCTCTTTTTATTACTGCTAACCTTAGACGCCATCGTCAATGAGAGCCAACTAGTTAACGAAAGAGTATACGAGAGAGAGAACGAGATACAGAGTTGAGACAATGGGGTTTTTTTGAGACAATGTAAGAACACAAACTGAACAGGTAATGGACGATCACTTGGTCAGGCGAAAGGTGTATTTATGTGTCTACTTTTAGTTCATTCACGTCCATTTGTAAGAGTTTGTAAAACATTTACCTCAATATTTTTTTATTTTAATAATTACCTCACAATACAAATACTCTTACATTGTGTACAAGTTGTACAAGTTAGTTCAGAATAAATAAACAGCAACACACCATTTTTAGAGTGAATGAAGATAATAATATTAATAATGATAATAATAATAATATTATCATTATTATTAATATTATTATTATTAATAATAATAATAATAATTATTATTATTATAAAAAGCACTAAACCCACAAGGGTCATGAATTGCTATACATAGAGTAAGGGCATACGAAAAGAATATTTTTCTACAGTTACCCCCTAGTGTTTGACTTGAGAAAACGTAATTCTTCCGACACTACCTACACAGCTTTGTAAACAAATCTCATATTTACATCAATTTTTATTCTGGGTGTATGTATCATGTTTATATGCTATGTAATGGGTTTCATATATAATTTTGAGGAAAATATCATAGATGGATTAATGAAAATGTCTATATTGATGTAAAATAAGACATTTAGTGTGCCCAAGAGTGATTATTATTATGTAGTATTGATGTCATGAGTAGAGAGAGACTTAGCGATTTTAATGTGTACCTGCACACCAGCACAGTGTGTAAGTATATTTAGGTACAGGTACACATAAGTATAATTATCAGAGTACATATAAAATATGCAGTAACTTTAAAACACTAGAAAGTTTCCTGACATAATAGATGTGGTCACGGAAAATGTAAAGAAATCGGGTGGGGGCGCCATATTTAAAAGACCGCTTGCCGTATAGCAAATTTTGGTCATAATTTGACATCGCCATATTAGCGGAATGCCGTAAGGTGAAACGCCGTAAAGCGGGGCCTTACTGTATATATATATAAATATATATGAGATAAAGAGCTTATCATATTTCCTTTCCCACTAAGATTTTCATGAATCCTTCTGTTTTCCTTTCTCTGTTTATTTCATATCTCACTCCAGCTCCACCTTTACATGATGGTAAAGTTACTCCAGACTCAGAGATGACATGATTGCTTAAGACATCACTAACACTGAGCATCTGCTATCCACTTGTTCACAGGAAACAGGACATGCACAAACTGATGACTGTTAAAAGCAAGGAATTTAGTTTTACTTTAGCCAACATGACATACCTAACCAAATATATGCAATTTGCAGTTGTCGTAAGCTAAACATATAACTTAAGCTGAAAGGAATCAAGAAATTCTAAAAGCAGGAAAACTGAGTTACGATGTGATGCCACTTGAAATAGTCTAGTAGTAGCAAGCATTGTTTAAGATTCTAATCTGAGTCAGTTAGGAAACTGATAAAATTGGGAGGACTGTGAAAAATCTATTATATAAAATATTTCTAAACCAAATTTAAATAAATTAAATGCTGCTGCCACCTCCTCTCTCTATCTCCCTCTCTTTCTATTTCTCTCTCCAAAACAAGTGAGGAGGATACTGAAACATAATTGGAATTAAATATGGTAACAAACATAAATCTGGATTTACTGTTATATCAGAGGAAACAGGAACTAGCTGAATAATTTTATGATCAGTTTCCGTCTAATTTACTTAAATACGTTCACAGTTTCTGTCTAATTTACTTAAATACGTTCATCTGTATAAAAAAACACACATCATTAATATCAAGATAAATATGGCTTGATGAAAACTATATGATGAGACTGAAAAAAAAAATTACATAAAAAAATACTGTGAATAGCAAAGTGCTCCATTTTTTTTAAAGGGGTGGACGGGTAAGCCAAAGGAATTCCTTGGTCAGATGACCAAAAGCTCCAACGGTGGGTCGTCATCTGACTAGAACCCACGTCAGGGAACACTTGTCCTGTTTCCAGACGAACCTTATCTAATCTTGCATAACTTACTTAGGGTCGGTGATAATATCGGTGAGAGCATCAATGATCATGTCCTCAGTAAGCTCTTCCCACAGCAGAAAATGTCCTAGTTCAGAGTTCCTAACAAACATGGCATTCCTGGGCTGGTCAGCAAAGATGGGCAGTGCGAGGAGAGGTGTAGCATGATAGATGGACTCTTGCAAGCTGAGGAGACCACAGTGTGTGATGAACACCTTCACGTTGTCATGAGCTGTGGAACACTAACACTTAAGTGAAAAGCAAAGGTGGAATGCGGGTGTTGTTGATGAGAAAAGTCATCACTTGTAAATGAACAAAGAAACAATTACGTATTTGAATATTACTTACATTTACATGCTTTACACTAATGGTAAATCAAGTTATTCCATAGAAAAGGTATTATAAAACATGAGAACAATGTTTGATATGCTATCCACTGAACTATCCTCATTACCAAAATTCAAACTACTATGTGTCTCGCTGCCTTCACACACGGTTGACCTCAGTGTTTATCACATTTCGATTTGCATTTTTCTATTACATATGTATGAGATGCACCGGAAACATTACCTTGCAGGTTTTGTTTTTATACATTTTTTGTGTTGTAAAGAATCTAGCGTAGCAGTGTAAGTTAAATACAAGTGCTATTGCTTTATGGTTAATTCAGTTTCTGGGATGTCAAAATAACTGGGATAAACTTACTACTACATTAAGACTGGTAGCCAGTTTGACAAGACACAATACATGCTTGTTATATAATACCATTGATATACAGCCATTTGGATGAACAGTTAGTGAAATGAATGCATTAAACAGAAGACACCTGGAGTATGCCTAGAAAGGGTTTCGGGAATCAATGGCCCCGTGGCCTGGTGTGTGACCAGGCCTCATGGTTGATCAGGGCTTTATCAACCAGGCTGTTACTGTTGGCAGCACACAACCCGACGTACGAACCACAGCCCGGCTGGTCAGTTACTAAATTTAGGTGCCTGTCCAGGGGTCTATTGGTATCCCCCTTATTGTGTTGTCTCTTATCATGCTAGTGGCAATCCTGCTTTTCATTGGGGCGATGTTGCATCGTCTGCTGATTCCTTTGCTTTCACAGAGAGTGATTTTCATGTGCAAGTTTGGTACTAATCCTTCTAGGATTTTCCAAGTGTATATAATCATGTATTTCTCCCACATGTATTCTAGGGAGTACCGGTTGAATATCAAAATGGTATACAATACCAACAGGTTGGTAGGTAAGACACATGGGCAACAGTCAGGCAACTTTATTCCGAAACGTTTCATCTACACAGTTGGCTTCTTCAGTTGAAAACAGAAAGTAAGCAGGAGCAGTAGAGATGGGAATATGATGTAATCAGTCCATCACCCTTAAAGTCGTAGATTTGAGGTTGTCAGTCCCTCAGCCTGGAGAAGAGTTCTGTTCCATGGTCTGAAACAGTCTGAAGAAACAAGCGACAGTGTGGAGACTTATATACTGTCGGCAGGAGAGGTGCAGAGTGATAGAAAAGAGTGATTACATTCTCTCTTCTATCACTCTGCACCTCTCCTGCCGACAGTATATAAGTCTCCACACTGTCACTTGTTTCTTCAGACTGTTTCAGACCATGGAACAGAACTCTTCTCCAGGCTGAGGGACTGACAACCTCAAATCTATGACTTCAAGGGTGATGAACTAATTACATTGTCTTCACATCTCTACTGCTCCTGCCTACTTTCTGTACTCGACTGAAGAAGCCTACTGTGTAGGCGAAACGTTTTGGAATAAAGTTGCCTAACTGTTGCCCATGGAGAACAAGTTGAGGAACTTCAAGTATTCCTAGTAATTGAGGTGTTTTATCACAATTATGTGTGCCATGAAGGTTCTCTGTATATTTTCTAGGTCAGCAATTTTACCTGCCTTGAGAAGTGCTGTTAGTCTGCAGCAATAATCCAGTCTAGACAGAACAAGAAACAAATGGGACAAAGTAATGTTTTCACTACCACAAACTGAAACTTAACAATGAACCCAAAACATACTCACCAAGAATATCCTGTTGAGGGAGCCATTTGGTGAGCATCACATTATCAGATATGTTTTTCAGCTCTCCTTCATATTTCCAGATAACTCGCTGTGGCAGCCTGCGGAAGGCCTGGATGAAGAGGTTGCGGTACTCTACTGGTATATCACCGCTGCTAGCAAGAGAGCCTAAGTTGAAGTAAATGACGCCAGCAGACCCAGCCTCCGAAATCCATGATTCTAACTCCTGTCAGACAGTTTTCAGAGATAAGTAAACTGCAGACTTATTAAAATGTAATTAATCATATACATAAATTATTATCTCTTGAGGGACATTTTGGCATGGATTTGTAGAAAGAACGACTTTTGAGCAAAGTCATGCAGGTAACATGAATAAGGGCAGGGGTCAGGGCAACATAGTTTGGTTGATTAACATCCAAGTCAAATTAGGAGGAATAGTAGAAATGATTTATAAAAAGGTGTAGTTGGAAATCCTTTATTTTGGAAAATGAGATTCTTATTTTTAAGATATATTAATTGTTTTAGTTGTTGTTCTTCTTCTTCTGTTGGGTTTCAGGGCCACTGACAGCATATGCCATATCGAGCCTGGCTGTCCAGAGCTAGATGGGACTTCGATCAAAGTGGAAGAATGTTTTGACTAATAACTATGTATCATATGTCCCTGATACGCCCTGAAGTCAGAAGGAAGGAGCAGGTACAGGCCAATATCTCCTGACAATCTGAAGAGTGAAACCTCTCCCCGTTGAGAAGGACAGGTAGAGTGAAAGTGTGCACCCCAAGTGTGCACAAGGCTGGACGGAGAGTAGTCCATGCAGAGTGATAATGTGGGCAACACAGCAGGAAGTGTTCCACCATCTCAGGCTGTGAGGGACACCACGGGCAGTACGGAGAGTCCATCATCTGAAGGCGGTACAGATGAGCCGCCAGTCGCGAGTGCCCAACTCGAAGGCGAGCCAGTGCGACATCCACTGAGCAGTTGGGATGGCAAACCCAAGGGCAGGGGCCATTAAAAGTTCAGACAGAGCCCAACGCTGAAGAAGAGAGGGAGTGTGTCAGGCCCTCTTGCCACTGATGACGGATTCCCTTCCAAACAGCCCTTGTGAAATCACTGTGGCCCAGGGCAAGAGGGGTAATAGTTGGAGGTGTGTGCACGAGGGAGGCCGCCTGATCTGCCACTTCATTGCCCCGGATTCCAACATGGGCGGGTACCCACTGAAGGGAGATGCTCCAACCTGGGCTCCGCAAGAAGTGCAGGAGGAGAGATTGTGTCCGACGAACGAGGATGTGCAGTGACAATGGACGGGCAGAGCACAAAAGTGCCAAGGAAGATTGGGAATCAGAGAAGGGAACCAATGGCTGTGGATTAATGTGATCTAGGACAAAAGCCAGAGCCTGGTGAATGGTGAAGAGCTCCCCTGCCAGAACAAAATGAGCAGGGTCCAATCGCCACATTTGACACGGGGAGAGATCAGCGCAGAAGGCTGCAGAGGATGTAGAAGGGGGGGAGGACCGTGCCGAGCCATCCGTGTAGACGGAGAATGAAGAGCCTTAAATCAGGGACAATCACAGACAGCACTACTGACCACTACTCAACCTTCCTCTTAACAAACATTAGTAAGCCACCACTCGAATACAACAAACTTTCATTTAGACTCCATGACGAGGCCTCAATAAGGAATTTCAAAGCAGACCTAGAGACTGTTGACTGGCCTACAGAATTCTCCAATGCCAATGGTATTGACGACTGGACAGACATTTTTCTTAACAAAATACTTAGACTATACAACATTGTCCTATAAAAACTAAACAGATCATGAATAAACGGCTTGGTTGCCCATGGCTAACCAGCAGCATTCTGAAATCCACTGATAAGAAACACCAATATGAAAAGCAATATAGACAGGGCTAAATACACAAAGATATTCTTAAACAATATTCAACAGTTCTCACCAAATTAATAAAGAAAGCCAAACAACTGTACTACTCCAGCAGATTCACTGACACAAGAGGAGATATAAAAAAGACCTGGAAAACACTTTCCCAGATTCTGGGGACCCACAGACTGAAAAAAAACAAGAAATTGTTCTAACTAAACCTCATGAAATGCCACTGTATCCCACTGATACAGCTAACAAGATAAATGACTTCTTCTCAAACATAGGATCTAATCTCGCCAGTAAAATCCCACGACTACCTAGATGAGAATTTCCCAAATTCCTTCTATCTTGTACGAACTGAGCCCACAGAAGTCACCGCAATCATAAACTCACAGAATCTGTCTCACGTCCCACCATTATTGTACAAGTGAGCAGCCCATGTCCTTTTGCAGGCTATTACATTACTTTTTAACAAGTCATTAGAAACTAGCACTTTCCCAACACTACTCAAATCAGCAAGGGTTACACCAATACATAAAGGTGGTGACCCTACAGACATAAACAACTATAGGCCAATATCAAACTTACCATTGCTATCCAAAATCTTCGAGAAACTCGTGCACAGGAGACTATATTCATTTATAACATCACAAAACATACTCAACCCCTGCCAATTTGGATTCAGGAAAAATAAAAGCACTAATGACGCAATTATAAAAATGCTAGACCTGCTTTACACAGCACTGGAAAAAAAGGAATATCCGCTAGGAATTTTTATTGACCTAAGAAAAGCGTTTGACACAGTAAACCACGGCATCCTACTCCACAAACTTGACCACTATGGTGTAAGAGGCCATGAGCTTGCATATTTTAAATCCTACCTTTCTAATATATATCAGTATGTCACCATTAAAGACACAGCCTCATCAATACGGCCACTTGATACTGGAGTTCTGCAGGGAAGTGTCCTTGGACCCCTGCTCTTCCTCATTTACATCAATGATCTTCCAAACATATCCCAACACCTGAAACCCATTCTCTATGCTGACGACACGACTTATGTCATCTCCCACCCTAATCTTGCCACCCGCAACACCATTGTTAACGAGGAGCTGCTCAAAATATTGACTTGGATGACAGCCAATAAACTTACACTTAACACTGGCAAAACCTACTATATTATGTTTGGTAGCAGAGCAGGTGTTGCGCAACTTAACATTAAGATCGACAACACACTAATTGCCAGACATAATGAGGGCAAATTCCTTGGTCTATACCTCGACAACAACCTAAATTTCAGCACCCATATCCAACACATAACAAAAAAAGTATCCAAAACGGTGGGGAGCCTCTCCAAGATACGATACTACATGCCGCAAACTGCCCTTCTCACACTATACCATTCACTTATATATCCATACCTCACCTATGCTATCTGTGCTTGGGGTTCAACTGCAGCAACACACCTAAAGCCAATAATAACCAAACAAAAAGCCGCAGTAAGAATAATCACTAAATCCCATCCCTGGCAACACACCCCCAACTCTTCATAGATCTAAACTTACTCCCTGTTCAGAACATCCACACTTACTACTCTGCAATCTATATCTACAGGACCTTAAATTCCAATATTAACTTTGACCTAAAATGCTTTCTTGATAGTTGTGACAGGATCCACAGGGATAACACCAGACACAAACATCTCTATGACATTCCCCGTGTTCGACTAAACCTTTACAAAAATTCAATGTATTTCAAAGGACCTAAAATCTGGAACACCCTACCTGAAAACTCTAGAACTGCAGACACATTCATCACTTTCAAAACTACAGTTAGAAAACATCTTATCTCCCTGATACACCCCGAAAACTAACTACATGATAACCACCTGGTAGTTCACAATTACACTCACTCACCCACTGACTATAAACCCAGAAATACTAATCTTAATCTTAAAATAATAAATCCTAACTAGTCACAAGTTTGCCTATGATACTCCAATATAGACACTTTGTATTGTGCCAAAACAAAAGCATTCACATTGCTAAACTCACAAATTATGATGTAGTCACGTAGCCTTATTAATACCATAATCTGTAAGGATTTAATGTTAAGAATTAATCTAAGTCTGCCCGAAATGCCTAGCCATGCTAGGTGTCCTAGTGGTCCCCTGTGTAATTAGTATTTTATAACATGTAAACCACACAATACCCAAAACCTGTAAACCCCACATTGTAACCCTTATAGAGAATAAACTTGAATTGAATTGAATTGAATTGAAACTCTTCAAACAGAAATGCAACTAACTGAGGGGGTTCCCTGTTTCTGTAGTGCCAATCCAAGGGAATGTATTGCGTCAGGTCCAGCCAGGGGGGGACCGGAGAGTGGAGAGGGGAGGGAGTCATCACAAGCACAGGAAGTTTAAGGCAGGTCAGGGAATGCTGAGCCCTGGCTACAAAGGAAGGCTGAACCAAATGTGGGGGGACAGAGGCTGTCTCCCACATCTGTGGAGAGAGGCGGCAGGGGTGAATACAAGGCAGAGAGGCCATATGATGGAGTTGTAAACAGTTCCTCGCTGTCCTCACCGACGAGAGAGGGACTATCCTCGACTCTGCCTCCAAGGCTGTGATGGGGGTGGAGGGGAATGCCCCCAGCATATTACGGATGGCTGAATTCTGGAGAATGTCTAAGTGAAGAAGAGAGGAGGAAGAAGCCGAGCCATACACCTCACTTGCATAACTGAGCTTGTTGCAAACCATAGCTGTATAGAACCTATAGAGAAGGTCTCGATCCGCCCCCTTACTTGGTGCCAGAGATCTGGTGCATAAGTGCAACGTGACGTGCACACGAGAGGTGGAGGGCCGCTATGTGTTTCTTCCATGTCAAGAATGGTGCATCTAAGGTGACTCAAAACCAATGATGAGAGACCAAAGGGATTGGTGTCTGATTCAATGAGACTGATGAAAGAGTGGGGAGTAGGCGTCTAGTAAAGCATAAGAGCTTGGACTTAGTGTCACTAACCTCCAAACCCCAGGTGGCGGCCCATGATGTTATGTGTTGCAGGGCACCCTGAAGTGTTTCCTGCGCTGTCAGTAAAGCCGGGGCACTGCACATAAGGGCCACATCATCCGCATATACCAGGGTATGCACTCCCTGGATGGAAGGGAGATCTGACAATAAGACAGAGAAAAGGAGTGGGCTAAGAACAGATCCCTGGGGCACTTCCCAGTATACAGGACGGGGTGAGGACAAAGCGCCACCCACTGCTACACAAAAGGTCCTCCCTTGCAAAAAGTTGTGCATCCAGCAGAGGGGAGCTCCTGTCAGCCCCATGCAGGCCAGCTTGAAA